TGGGCAGTTGAAGGCAGTCGCTCTCCAACAACAAGGGAGGGCGGAGAAGCGACGCTCACAACAACGAGCAGAGCATCGGGTGGCTAAAGCACAGCAAGGTGGCACAATAGGGGGCACAGGTGTTCCATCAGCCAGTCCTCTCAGTCGATCCGTGGCACCTGGGTCTGCCCCGTGACCTCCTGCCAGCAGGCCTCAACGTGCACATAGCTTGGCACAATCGTCGTGGTGACGTCACCGCCACTTAGTGGCGAATGGCGGTTGTTGTATATAGCGGGGGTGAGCGGTAGTGCAGTGGTTAGCGCACTACGCTACAATTCTGGCGACCCGAGTTTGATTCCCGCTCACGACCAACACCAGCGACGATTATCTGAACCAGTCCTGGACCTCCCCGATGTTGACTCCGTTGAGTACCTGGTGCAATGTGTAAACATCGCCACTGGGGAGACTAAAGTGGCCGGGCGTGGTGCTGGCCACCCACCCCCTCATGTATGTCCGTCTCCAATTATCTCTTATGCTGTCATAGCTGTATCTGTTCATCTGACTCGGTCTCAACTATTTCTCACTCTTTCTCCTGGTCATTCCCTGTCTCTTTGTCATTGTGTCTCTGTCTGCCTGTGTTTGACAGGTCAGTAATGAGTGCTGGTGAGAGTTGTTCTGAGAGGCCGAATGATGGCTTAAGGGAGACTGCTTATGGACAATCAGACCGTGTTAGAGGGACTGGCTTTTTCGATGGCTTTGAAGAAAGCTTTAAGAGAGAGTGAGGCGCTGCCTGTGGAGTGTGAGAGGGATACAGATTTAGACCAGTTACTGAGAGATTAAGACCGTATCCTTGCATGTGTGTCTATATCCACGTTTGTGGCGATGTCTTGAGTGTTTGCATTGGTGTCTTTGTAAGTCTGTCTGTATTAGCGTGTATTCGTATGGGTTGGTTAACGTCTGTGTCTGTGCTTGCAGTCGGCTTTGCCTGTGCGTGCGTGCGTGTACACATGTGTACGTGTGTGTGCGAGTGTTTCTGTTTAGCGAGTGTTCACGCCCAGCATGATGAATGTCGCACTTCACTTCTAATAATGTCAAGTGTCACTTAGCCTCACTACTTTAATTAAAGTGGAGAGAGGGCAGGGCGCACACGCATGCACACGCATACACACTTGCACTGCATCCGACTATGTGCATATAAATACAGACGTATATAGCACGTATGGGCAGTCACGTGCACATTTTTATTTACATAACGATTGCATATTTATACTAAACCAACACGTACATGAAATATATACTATCACATGCATACATATATCCATGTACAGGAAAACCTCGCCAAACGGAATTATCGAACACGTGTTTCGACTTTGCAGAGTTTACCAAATGAGGTCTGTTTTCCGAAAAAAGGGGGTAATGTTTTGTCTATACGTGGATTGACGTCGCTAAGATTGTTGCTAAGATAGTTGTAAGATTGGCGTGCAATAGGCGGGAATGCTTCATCTGTTGGAAGGCACTATGGTGTGAATGAATTGACTGAGATTGATTTATTTCCCATGTCTGGCATTTTGTGTGCTAATGTAACACACTCGACACGCTCGCGCACCACGCGAATGTTAACACAGATTGTCGCATGCATATAGCTGTCCACTCGTTGAGGACGTCAGTCATACGAACGCCTAGGCATGCGAATCGTGAACGTTCAAGTGACAGTGTTAGGGGCGAGTGCTTGGTTGGCGATTCAATATCAGGGGCGAGCGCTGAAGTGAGTAATGGAGAAGGAGGCTTTGCGTGTAGAGGTGAATTTGAAGGAGTGTACACAATACATACGAAATGGAGTGTAGCTCAATAGTGGAAATCATGTAGAATTAGTTAAACAAATGGGGGGAGGGGAGGGGTGATCATTTTGGACCCAGGAACACAATATTTTTTCCCGTAAGGTCTGTTATTTGTCAAGAGCGGTTTTGCCCAACAGCATTTTCCAGGAACGTAATTCCTGCGTTTGACAATGTTTTCCTGTATATACATGCGATCGCGCACATATTAATATATACGTGTAAGGATACCGATATACGGGGAGCGATGATGCAGTAATGCACGTAACTGCCATTATGAACCCAGCAACCTAAGTTCGATTCCATGTTGTGGTGCGGAGTTACATTCTTAACCATTCCTGTGATGTTTCTCGCCACAGAGCACTTAGCTCTGTGGCTAAGTCTGGTCAAACAACCCCGTGAACAACAGCATGGGGAGCCATTCATCAGCGGATTGACAATGACTTTTTAAAAATCATAGTTGTACTAATATATATTTTCTTTGTCACTCACAGTACTCGCTCACAAGCTCACTTATTTACTCACAAAAATTACTCGTTCACACACCACTTATCCACTCACCGTCTCGCTCGCTCACTTAAAGCTCACCCGCACATTAACATACAAAGACTCATTCGCCCACCTTACTCCCTCACTCGCCACCATCCCACACGGCCAATCCTCACTCACAAACTTGCCCCTTCCGATTGACTCGCACATTTACCAAACTTGCTCACTCAACCCACTCGCACGCTCACCGATTCACTCATTCACTTACCCATCCATGCCCCTCCACCCTAACCCAACCCACGGCCATAAATAATAAACAGCCATCCCTCACTGTGAGCTCCGTACCTCCCAGCTTATTCATGATTAATTTACGCCTTCTCGCTGTGCGCGGGCTCTTTCGGCCAAACGAAATCTTGCACACAAATTGGGCTTCTTTATAAATCAAGATAAAGTCAAGGACTCTCCCTGTGAAAATGAGCACAGTGCTGATCTCGGTTTGGTGGCTCTGAGAAAAGTGCAAATTTAACGTTCTCCTGGCAGGAGCCAGTCTCTCCATAGGTCGACTGCGGTTGACTTCCCTTAAAGCGGTGTGACTAATTTTGTTGAGGCTGGGCGATATTTGCTGCTGGTGAAGATTGTTGCAGCTGCGACGATTGACGACCACAATGGTGGTGCTGATGATCGCCATGTTTCTGCTGCTGATATTGATGATGTGGAACAATTATTTTTTTCTTTTTGTTCCTAGGTAGTAAGTGTTATTTCCTCATTGCTTATGCCTCAAAAGTACAGGAAATAGCTATTATTGCCCACAAACTTTGCTTTTGTGACCAGGACAGTGATATTTTGAAATTTACCTATTTTCAATGAGAAAACGGGCGAATTTATGTGTTTTTGTTCACATAAAGTCAGAGAAAAAAACATGAATCAAAATTAATGTGTATTTATACTAAAGTAATACAAAAATTACTACAAAAGATTTAGACACCAAGGCGCACTATCACAGGCGGGACTGGCCACAGCGGACCGAGTTCTCTGTGGGGAGGAAAAACGTCAAGTGGGAGCCACTGGTGGACCCCCGGAAGGTGCTGATGCCACCACTGCACATCAAATTGGGCCTTATGAAACAATTTGTCAGAGCTGTAGATAAGGAGTCGGCAGCCTTCAAGTACCTTCAAGACTTCTTCCCTAAGCTGTCTGAGGCAAAGGTCAAAGCCGGTGTCTTCGTTGGACCACAGACAAAGAAGATCCTGGAGTGCAATTAATTCCCCAAGAAGCTCACTAGTAAGGAAAAAGCGGCTTGGAACAGCTTGGTCGCAGTGGTTTGTGGCTTCCTGGGCAATCGCAAGGTCAATCTATGTGGAGCTGGTTGAGACTGGTGAAGAACTACGGCACAATGGGCTGTAGGATGTCCCTCAAAGTCCATATCCTTAATGCTCATCTTGATAACTTCAAGGAGAACATGGGAGCGTACTCGGAGGAGCAAGGCGAGCGCTTCCACCAGGATATACTGGACTTTGAACGCCGCTGCCAAGGACAGTATAACGAGAACATGATGAGAGACAACATTTGGGGGCTGATTCGTGAAAGTGATTTACAGTATAATCGTAAATCTCGAAAAACTACTCGCTTCTAAACTTTTTGTAGTCATTTTCGTATTACTTTAGTATAAATACATGTTAATTTTGATTCATATGTTTTTTTCTGACTTTATGTGAAGAAAAGACACATTCGCCCGTTTTTTCAGTGAAATAGGTAAATTTCTAAATATCATTATCCTGGTCACAAAAGCAAGGTTTGTGGGGAATAATAGACATTTTCTATACTTTTTAGGCATAAACAATTACGAAATAGCACTACCTAGGAACAAAAATTGTGTTACATAGTGTAATCTTCGTAATGATTATGGCCTGAATTGACCCCTTCCCCCTCCTCCAATTGAAATTTTACCTGCAACCATCCGATTGTGAGTTGGCCACGAACCACAAGCTCAATAATGCAACGCCCGAGGAATCGTAACACCAGACTAAGGCACAAGCTCTTGAGAGTTCTTTTAGCTTAAACAAAAAGTAGGGTCCCCCTCTGGGTGTCGCTGCAGTAGGGGCACAGAATGTACAATCCTGGTTATCGGTTGAGTATTCCATGTATCGCAACATCAACATCATCCTAAGTAGCATCATCAGGATCTTCATCATCTCTTTGGGCATCAGTGAAATGAGTATCGCTTTGTGGCACGTCAACATTGACCGGAATTTGAAGTGACCGACCACTGACATGGTTACGTGGAATTCCCATCACTGGCTCACTGCCACCAATGGAGATGGGTGACCACCATTATTTGACTCATGGGAACGATGAGTCAACTCTTGTTGCAGATGGGTCCTGCATTGGAATGTTTGTTTAGTTTATTTTTATTGAGTCTTTCGCTTCATGTGAGGAAACTGGAATACGGAACCTGGAGAAAGCCCACACACCTAGGTCCACACAGGCGGATTCTTGAACCCACTTACTTTACTCATCTCACATCTACTTTGCACCCAAAAGCAGGTTTGAGAGTTTCATGAATCTCGTGATACCACCCACCCTCATTTTGAAAGTACTGGATTGCAGGCATGCACTGCCACACTTGGTTCAAAGATTGGACGAAGGCTAAGGTCTTTAATCTGTTGGGTTTTTTTTTTTGCTTTTTTCTCTCCACAGAGACATTTCTTCACGGTGAAGCAATTCGCTCTCGAATGTTCTCGATTCCCAGTCGGGCAGTCTCTCAACCCACAGGTGACAACGCAGTCGCACATCCAGATCACTCGTCAGAACACCACAGCCCCCTGTCCGCTATCAGAATACAACTCGGACTCGGCTCCTCCGTAACATTGGATTTCAATATCAGTCTTGATTGAGACCGAGTCTCAGAATCGGGAGTATTAATTCAAACCTCGGGAGAACTGGGTATTTTTTTTAAACCAACAAAAAAATGTCTGACTCAACTCCCTGTTGTTGCTAACTTGTACAGGATAAATGTTGTGTACTTCATGATGTGATTTTGTTATGGTGTTGCTGATGTATTTGTGTGTGTGAGTATATTGTCATGTTTGCTGTTCTTCCCCCCCCGATAGGGTTTCATAGGATTGAAAGCGCGTATGAAACATTATGTGGAAGGGAGCACAATATCAGAATCTGCGGTATGTCACCTGCTGGCAGTGGGTTATGGCAGAATTTCTATATACCAATACATCATATTATTCATATTTTTGTCATCTACATCAGCATAATTTTCAGCAGCATCGTATACATTAACATCCTAATATTAATCGAAGATAGCATACTCATGAATGTAAAAATAACCATTCACATCATTTGCAGTATTGTTGTCAACAGTATAACCAAATCATCTTCATCACCCAGTGTCAACATCAGTGACATCATATTCTTGGTTCTTTCAGTAAAGTCACGTAGAAGGGAAATAATAAAATAATAAAAATATCAAACAATAAAATTCTCACGACGTTTCGATTGCAACACAAGCAATCATCATCAGGTGTGAAATCCACAGCAATTTTTCTTGCTGTGGATTTCACACCTGATGATGATTGCTTGTGGCCGAAACGTCGTGAGAAGTTTTATTTTATTATGTTTTATTTGTATTATTTTATTATGTCCCTTCTACGTGACTTTACCGAAAGAACCAAGAATATGAATCCCTGCAGTCATGAAAGCTTTAAATCAAAATCGGTGACATCGGCAAACTAAACTACATCATCAACAGCATCACAGCAATATCAACATCAGGAAATCACTATCATCATCTGTAACATTGATGTTATAAACACATTCATTATCATATAGGCATCATGATATTTCACAGTTATTATGCACAACCTTAAAATTAATATTTGCAACTTATCTTTCTGCCTTCTTCATTTTCGCCATTTCTTCAATGCTTCCTCTCATGACATTCCTCCATGATTTTTTTATAACTTTTTTCAAAACCTTCCAATCTTTTAGAATATCACAGCCCTCTAAATTCGCAGATGGTAGAGCCAAGGCCCCTCAACGTGCTTCCCCTCCACTGCCAGCTCATTTGGTCAATCATTGAGGGAAAATTAACCAGCGCCAATTCATTATTGGGCCACGAAGGGTGATGGAAAAGTAGATGACACGACACAGGAGTGGGCTACATAAAGCAGTGAATAATTGTATTTTATTTTATACCTACGTGACTTTACCGAAAGAACCAAAGAGCAGTGAATATTATGTTTACATGAATAATTGTATACATTTCACCAAACTTCTTGGTGACAGATTAATTCTGCCACTTGTTGACGGGAGCCTTCAATCACGTACCATGGAGGAACTTAAATGAATTCTGCGGAGAAACGTGGAGAAAAATCGGAGACAAGTCGAAGAATTCTGGAGAAAATCCAGAAAACCGTCTCCAGACCTTCCACATTTATACAGTTGAAGAATCGCGTGTGGGGACGGTGGATTTCGAGTGGCAATTCAGTAAAATCGGCTGTCAATGAGCGGTTTGTAGAGTAACGCCATGAGGTCTTCCAGGCAGGAAAGCCATGGGACATCGCTGGACCCAAGTGCATTGCACTTCTAAGTGGACCATGTAGATGCGCAGAAGAGTTTCATCAAGGTCGTTCATTGCTTTCTATATCGGGACACAGACTTTTCCATCGCCACATGTTTATCTAGAGACAACTCGCCGCTCCCAGCCCCTGTAAAGTGCTGATATTTTTTTTGCCCCGGCGCAGGACTGTTCTTATAAAGATGACGCGAGAAAATAAACAGGGGTCAAGTCATCCACGATTGTAGTTTATCAATAACTTTCAGTCGTTATGAACTGATGAAGCCAGCCTCCAGGTACAAGCGTCTTCAGAATCTGAGCCCAACTTAGGCACTTTTGTTTTGGATGTACGCACACTAAATTTATCAGGCTAAAATAATATTTAAAGCATTTTGCACCCCAACCACCGAGTTATTTTCTTATGGACACATGCTTGGGCCGTGTCATGAATTTGCAGCTTGGAAAACGATGGAAAACAACAGTGAACAGGAAATGTGCTTTAGTGATATGACCACATTACCCTTGTCTTAAAGTATTTGGGAGGGACATCGCTAGGTGGTGCAGTCAAGTCGAGTTTGTCTTTCTGTTTATTCTTCTCAATAAAGAAACATCAGAACATTTGTGAGACAGACTGGGGCACATCGACTAGGTGTATGGCTACTAAAGAAAAGACCGGTTTCTGTTTTTGATAGCAACTTCATCTGAGATTTGTAGGGTTCTGTTGTAAACTTTTTGTTCAGGATTTACTGCCAGGGTTCAATAAAAGGGGTGTATGGGCTCTCGAGGTGGTGATTCTTCTGCTGTTTCCTTTTACGCAACTGAAACTTGCACTGTCCCTGTGCTTCTTTGCTGTTACTAGCGTTATTTCTGCGCTGTCGTCTGCCTCCTGTTGCCTACCGCTGTCTTCGGCATTTTTTCCTTGCTGTTGTCAACGTCACGTTCACTGTTGATGTTCCTGGACGATTAACAATGGTGCTAATCTGCTTCATTGAAATGGTGATGGTGCTGATGTTGGTGACCATTATTGTGCTGGTGCTTGTGTTGGTGCTGATGGGGTTTATCAACGGTCATGATGTGAATGGGCGTGATTGTGATGGTGTAAATGCAATAACCTCGAATATTGTGGTGAATTATCGTGGTTTGGTGGTGTTGATAGAGACGATGGGAATGGTGTTGCAATGATGTTTGTGGTTATGTTTTATCTCCGTTCAGTTCAATGCTCGGGACACATGTACAAACATACTTTTTACACCCATTTAACACGTAGTTAAAAACACTCGCTCACTTTAATACGTGAATGCACACACACATACGCAAACACTTGAACACATTTACACACTGTTGACAGTCATATATAAAGCAGTAGACCTTGTACTGTCAATGATGTTCTCTAATGCGTGTGTTTTGTGTGTGTGTGCGCGTGTGTGTCAAACGTTTCCCCACCACCGGTCTTGCCCCGTCTTGTTGCTATGTTGTTTTTTTTTACTGCTCTTGTGGTATTGCTGTTTGATTTGCTGTGCTTGTTGTTTAAACGTTGTTTTTGTTGCTTTGCTTTAATTTTGTCTTGTTTGGTGAATTTTTGCTGGCAAGTTGTCCATTTTCAATGATTTCAATTGTTTGCTCTTTGCATGTCAATCGTTTCTGATTACCGTATGCGCTGTGTGGTTGACTGCCGTTCATTCTGCAATTTCTCTATTCCACTATCAATCCTTTCTGCGTTGGTTTGTGTTTGGCTGTCATTGGTTATCTTGCTTGCCCTGTGTTTCGCTGTCGCTCGTTACCTTGCTTGCTGCCCTGTGTTGGGTTGTCGCTCGTTACCTTGCTTGCTGCCCTGTGTTTCGCTGTCGCTCGTTACCTTGCTTGCTGCCCTGTGTTTCGCTGTCGCTCGTTACCTTGCTTGCTGCCCTGTGTTTCGCTGTCGCTCGTTACCTTGCTTGCTGCCCTGTGTTTCGCTGTCGCTCGTTACCTTGCTTGCTGCCCTGTGTTTCGCTGTCGCTCGTTACCTTGCTTGCTGCCCTGTGTTTCGCTGTCGCTCGTTACCTTGCTTGCTGCCCTGTGTTTCGCTGTCGCTCGTTACCTTGCTTGCTGCCCTGTGTTTCGCTGTCGCTCGTTACCTTGCTTGCTGCCCTGTGTTTCGCTGTCGCTCGTTACCTTGCTTGCTGCCCTGTGTTTCGCTGTCGCTCGTTACCTTGCTTGCTGCCCTGTGTTTCGCTGTCGCTCGTTACCTTGCTTGCTGCCCTGTGTTGGGCTGTTATCCGTTCCCGCGTTCTTGCCGCCGCCGTTGGTGCGACAGCTGTCGATGTTGTTCACGGAGGAGTGCGAGCGCGTTCGCGATCTGATGCACGTGCACTCGTTCAGCCATGACTTCCACCTGCGCGTCGCTCACCACTACCTGCTCGGCCGCCAGCTCACGTTCCCGCGCTCGTACGCCCTGGGAGCTTTCCTGCACCGGTTCGCACGCGCCCATCGCAGCGCCCCCAAGTACGGGCGGAACCACCTGCTCACAGGTGAGGGCGGCAACCAGGAAGACGGGAGGGCACCTGGTGAGAAAAGGGAGAGGCAAGGAGAGATAGGCGGGGTGACGTGTGGAGAGTTACGGGTTGGTATGGGTGAGGGGGTCATGGTGAGGTAGAGGGAAGGTGAAGAGAGGGACATGGAGAACGAGCAAAGACATGAAGAGGCTGGGGGGGAGGCATTGAGAGGCACAGACAACACGGGAAGGCGCATAGAAGCACATGGAGGGCATGTGGTGGCAAGGCAGACATGGGGATGGACACGGGGATTGACGAAGATGGTGATAATTATTCTGTTACTCCTGTGATAATTCCAACTCCACTCTTGCCGCTATTGCTAATATTGATTCTGCTGATGATGATGATGATTACGATACTGCTATATTCACTGCTTCATACCTCATGACCCCCATGCCCCCCTCCACCCCTCATTTCCTGCATGCAGGTGAGCTGGAGCTTAGCGTGGGGGGCACGCCCGCCCCCCAGCTCTACGCCTACATGGTGGAGCATGCTCACACCTACGGCTTGAAGCCACTCACCATGGAGAGCGGCCCCGGGCCTTGCTCCCCGGGAGGCCTGGCCCTCGAGTTCGCCCTCGTCGCTCTCTCCACCAGGTGCTGGGGGCAGGAGGAGGAAGGGAGGTGGTGGTGGTGGCCCCGTTGCGTGGTGCCGGGTCTCGGTGCTGATGGTGTCTATATAGAGCAGTGTTCTTCATTGCAAGGCCCGCGGGCCACTGGCGGCCCCTGGTGGCCTGTTAGTGCGGTCCCTGACGTGCGGCACCCCGGCAATACACAAATGTGTAAACGGCCTCATCGTGATGCTGTCAAACCCAATGGTTTCAAATGTGTAGAGGCCCTTGCACTGATGAAGACCTGTCGGCGAAAGTGGCCGCTCTCTGAAAATTAGTGAAGAACACTGATCTAGAGTGAGGCTGTGGTGGTACGAGTGGTCTGGATGTGCATAATCAGAATATTTCTGTATAATGGGAAAATCCTATGAGCTATAAAGCTCTTTTTCACAGACGTTCAGTCGGGGCAGGACAGAAAGTTACAACAACAATCAATAAAATAACACAATAGTCGGGCAAAGTATCGGAGAGGTAAGCAAATCACTAAATAAATAAAATAGATTAAGTATATAAATTCAAATTGCATAAGTACGTCAATTCCCAAACTTGGGCAAGGCAGCGAAACAACAGCAAGAACAGTCCCAGACCACACCAAGACAAAAACAGTCCATCACGATAAGTTGCAGATGAAAACTGAACAATCGACGGCATTCTGCCGGTTGAGAGACTGGACGCGTGCCCGGGAGTCGAGGGCGTTCAAGGAGGAATAACCTTCACTGAAGAAATGTCAATGTCGACATAATCGACGAGAAATTAAAGACCCCACTTGTCCGGTCTTTCAGCCAGGGGTGTGGCGGTGCATGATACCTGCAATCCAGTCTATTTGAAATCCCGAAACCCACGTTGGTGTCATGTGACGAAATGACAGTACAGCAAGTGGGTTGTGAACCCATTTGTGTGTGGTCTCTTTAAGCTTTATCCCTTGTTTTCTCCATCTCCAATTTCCTCCTAAATTAAGCAAAAATCATCAGTCTCTGCATCTTGATGAAGGGGGGAGTTGCCCATGACTGATTCAGATATCACTTACCATTGATATTACCCTTGGCACCCCGACACCCTGATTCGCACGGTTGGCTGCATCCAGTGTTAAAGAAGTTCAACATACATGTACAGTGTTTATTGTGTTTGTTTGTCTTTGTACCATCATATGTGTTTACATGTTCATATGCCATGTGATCAGGTCGGGCTCCTATAAGGATGCCGATGGCGTTCGTCATTTTGATGACTTTGATGTCTCGCTGATCGTGAGGCAAGACACCTCGAACCTGTACACTCAATATGAGCAGGAGCAGCAGCAGCAGCAGCAGCAGCAGCAGCCTGAGCCACAGCAGCAGCAGCATTCCGATCTGAAGTATTGAATGGGCAGATGCACTCAACTCACCAGTTCACTCAACCACTCGCTCGCCTACTCACCCGCACACTGTCAGTTACCACGTCACTCACTCAACCATCTACTCATTCACTCAACCACTCGCTCGCCTACTCACCAGCACACTCTCGGTTCCCTTTTGCTGAAACTTCGCCATGTATATATTTTTCATTTCAAGGCCACAGTGTTTAAGATGAATGTGTTGGAGTTTTTTGTTAACTCTGCTTGTGCACCACTGCCAACACGCAGCAGAAGCAACACCAAATGATGTGTTTTAATGACTAAACCACTAATTTCTACTCATTCGCTCTCCCGCTATAACACCCCCCCCCTTCCCCGGGCCTGCTGGTGTCTCAGGCTGCTCTACTGCCTGGTCATGACGAGCTGCCGCGAGCTGTTCCCGCGCCTCACGGCCGACATGAGTCGTTTCCGCAAGCTCCCCCGCTCCTACCGCCCTGAGCAGCAGCAGCAGCAGCAGCTGAAGGAACAGCAGCAGCAGCAGCAAAAACTCGATGGACAGCAGCAGCAGCATGCGAAGATGAAACAATTGCAACAGCTGCAGCAGGAACAGCAGGAGCAACAAGTGCCTCAACAGTTGACACAACAACAGCTGCATGACGATGATGATGACGACGATCGTCAGCAGCAGCAGCAGGAGAACATGAAAGAGCAACAGCAGCAGAGGTCAGAGGCGTGCCCCCTTCTGCTGCAGCAGCTGTTGAGGCGCACGGATGGAGCAGCAGAGGTGACAGCAGGGCCCCGCGAACAGCACGCGCAGAAGAGCAGCAGGGAACTGCCAGTGAGTGTGTAATGGGGAGCAGTGACGTTTTGGTTCGCCCACTGTGCTATGCAATTAGGGTTCGCAAACAGCATTTGTTATCGTCGTTAATGAGGCTGAATGGGGTATTGTGTGTGTGTGTGTACACCACCGTCGTAATCGCCAATGTCAACATCAACAGTCGCCTTCACCATTACCACCACCTCCGTCACCATCAACAAAACTACCACGACCAGCAACGCCATTCAAAGTCGATTTCCCTCCCCTCCCGCGTGCCGTGCAGTTGCCACTGCCCCCCTCCTCCACATCCCCATCCTCTTCCTCCACCTCGTCCTCCCCGCCGCACCTCCCGCTCTTCCCACTCCTCGCCAGCGAGAAGGAGTCGGCGCTCGCGCGCATCCGCTCGGTGGTCGCCCTGGCACGCTCCCAGTGCCGCCGGGACTCGCTGTGGCAGAGGCTGCTCCTGGCGGCCGACTCCACTTCTGAAGCCTACGCGGCCCCGGCACCGCCGATGGCATCTCCCTCGGCAGCAACGTTGACATCGGCGTCTTCGTCGCTGGCCAAGTGAGAACGCCGTGGCTGGGGCGGGGGGTGGAGGTGTGGGGTTTGGAGGTTGTAGTTTTGGTGCTGCGATGGCGGGATGTTAACTCCCTCACCTGGTATGCAGGAGGTTGTGGGGTCGGTACCCACCCTTACGGCTGCTGTATATTTGGAGAATGCATGTCTCTCTCTCCCTGTGATCGTGTGGTAACTTTTTCTCGGTCTTATATTTTCTTTCCTTCACGTTGAGAAACATGTATTTAGATTATTTGGCTGAAATCAATTTCCACACGATAAGCCACTTCGTTGAGCTATCACTTGTAGCCAGGTTGCTTCTGAAAAAGAACGATATAACTCGGTGTGCTTTAACTGGTCAAATACAAATAATTTAGCTCATAGTTTGAATAAGACAGGGCTTGGCTGAACTCTTTTACTGCTTCCTTCGACCACGGACTTTTTAAAATGCCTCCAGCACGCGCAAAGACCATAGAGGCAACTGCTGTTTGCGAGCCCCGGTTAACGCCAGCGTGGCGCATCGGTCGGTAGTGTGAGCCGGTTTCACTCGCAGATACATTTGACTCCCCAGTGCTGATGTTCTCACACCGCGCTAGATACTCAATGTAACATAGGGAAGGCCCACGTCAGGTAATGCAGTGTGTTGACCGCTACACTAGCACTTCCCATATGCAGACACACATAAACACATCGTGACATGAAAACTCTTTCAAATACGCACGCGGTCATATATACATCCATACAAACACACTCATGGAAGGAGAGGAGACGGAGTGTTCTGTGCTCCGTAACACAAGTACCCTCGTATTTTTGTAGCCTTTTGTCGTCGAACATTCTAACCATATCAACAATATTAAATAGTCTAGGAGCCAGGGGCGTGCCTCTGTCACAATCTGAGCTCCAGGGGAAAGGCTCTAGCTCCTGTCATGTCGCGTTACCCAGGCCTGCCTACCATCGTGTAAGTCTCTAATGATCATGAGCAGGGGGTCAGGGACCCGGGAGGCATAGAATGACCTAACGCCTGGCCTCCTGATGGTACAGCAGGCCTTGACCAATGAGGTAAAGATGCAGGTCCTAACATAATTTATATATATAAAATATATACACACACACAGACTGACCTCTTGCCCCGCCGCGTGTGCGTGTGTGTTTGTGTGTGGCAGCAGTGGGGGTGGAGCGCTGGGTGGAGCGGGGGATGGTGGGGGAGCCGGGGGCGGGAGTGGCGGTGGGGGGGCGGCGGCGGCGGCGGCGGCGGGGGGGGGAGACCTCTCGCTGCCGCTGCGAGCCCTGACCCCGCTGAGCCAGGCAGAGCTCAGGGAGCTCGTGGAGGCCGTGAGCTGCAGGCCGCTCAAGCAGCTCGACACACGACTCGTACGCACAGTGACTCACTCGCTCGCTCGTGACAAGCTCGCTGACGCACTCGGTGGCACACAGTGACACGCTCAACAATACTCACGCATACTCAGTGACGCAGTCGGTGGTGACACGCTCAGTGACAGTCGGTGGCACACACAGTGGAACAGTGACCCAATCAACAGCACTCAATCAAATAACTGGCACACTTGGTGACATTCTCCATGACACAATCATTGCTATACGGTAACAGTGAGTGACTGTGTTGGTCATTGACACTCGGGTCGACACGTTCACCGTGATAGTGACACATAAACCCTGATAGTGACACATTTACTCCTGATAGTGACACTTTAATTCTTGAAGTACCACTTTAACAGTGACACACTACCCTTGATTATGACGTGTTAACACTCTGACCCTGACCTTGCACCATTGTTTACGTGTTTTGTCCCAGGAGTTCTTTGAGACCCTGGCTCCATCCTGGTACCAGGGTCTCATCCGCTTGCTCCAGGGCAGGTTCTCTCACAACTGTCGCCTCTTCAACAATGCTGACGGCAGCGTTCAGTACCTGGTACATCCCCCAGATACACACACACACGCGCGCGCAAAAAAGACAAAGATCCCCGTATAGCCTTTAACAACTGTTGGGGCAAGTGCTGTTAGCAAGCACCTATGGAGGCCAATGCGGCACACAAGGGGGTGATCAGCCAGCACCACGCCCGGCCACCTTTGTCTCCCCAGTGGCGATGTTTACACATCACACCAGGTACTCGTTTAAGGCTAAGTCGACAGAAGGGAGGCTCAGGACCGATTTAGATAATCGTCACTGTTTGTGGTGGATATGAGCGAGAATCGTACTCAAGTCGCCGGATTCATAGTGCAGCGCGCTAACCACAATTACTCCCGTATCCACACATGCACACAGTCACACGGCACAAATACTCCCCCTACAAATACACATACGCTTCTACACACCTCCTCCATACATATATTTATGCAATCGTATACTTAAATACTTACCGACCTAGCTAGAATCTGACCTTCACACACACACACCTACCCACAGCAATGATAAAAGTAAATATAATTAAGGGACTGCATATGACAACGGTGTACAAGGGGCAAGTCAACAAAATCTCTCCACGTTCCTGATTTTGGCCGCCTGATAACAGGACACATTCCATATTAAAATATAAATAAAATATATCGTGCTAACATTCGCTCTGTCCCCTACTCCGATAAAGTGACATTACCCAAACATTTAGTTTGTTGTATGTTTTTCTGTTATAAGACGGTGCTCATGATAAAGATGATACGAAATAATTTTTAACCTGCTTTTCCACCACCCACCGGCATATATCTATACAGCCATCCTAAATCCGTACCACCTACTTCCTCACAACATAGCTGCCCCCATTCCATGCCTGGTCTCTTGGAGTCAAATCTCAATCAACTCTGATCCTGAAACTCCTGTATCCGAGTCTCAATCAAGACTGGGGGTGGTGACATGTGGCATGGCCTAGCAGTTTGACGTGGTGACATGGTCTATCCGTAGCGCATCCACTGCTTTTGCAGAGGGGCGTGGGTCAAACGCTGCATCGCGTGGCGCTTTCAGATGCGCTTCTGCGGTCGTCTGGAACGCTCTTCTTTCCGATATTCGGAAGCCACTGGGAGCTATGCACTTTTAAATCGTCTAGACTGCTGAGATTGCTTATTGTTTAGTATGTCCTTCACCTGCGCATCCGATTAGCACAGTTGGCTATGTACGATGCGAAATTAATTCTACATACATACATGATGCTAATCCTGGTCTCCTGTTCTGTATTTCAGGCGGTGTTGAATCAGAAGTTCCCCGACTGCTGTCTGCTCGTTCATGTTGATCTTCACAACAACCACACAGTGAGTCAAGTTTGTATGTATATACAGTATGTGTGTGTGTGAATAATGCATGTAGGTGTGTTAGTTTACATGTCGGTGGTTAATCATAATTATAATGGTAATCATTATTCTTGCCAGGTCTGTGTAAAATAAGCACCGTTTTGTGGGAAACAAGAATTTTGTTGTGCGGTGCAGGAACCGGCTGCCACTCTTATCGTCCATCTTAAGTTTTGTGTTCCGCTGCTGGATCGTTCATTCGCCACCATTTTGTTTGCACTGCTTGGACGAAGGCCTCCCCAAACCGTCACCATTCCTCCCGATCATGCAATGCAGCATTCCGTTTTTTAGCTGCTGCTGCACACGAACCGCATGTACGCACTTTGCACTTCTTTTGCACCGTACGTAGCCAATCGTGCTCATCGGAGCTGATCTCATCGTTCGTCTCCGTTCTGCCAGGCGTCTTCTCTCCTTTCGCTGCGATTCTGTCATTGGCTTCAACCTCTAACCATGAACTCTTTTGTAGCACCATGTCCTGCCGAAACCCATTTTTCTGTGAGGCCAGAATGATGTCGCTAACTTTCTTTTGTTCTCTCTCATCCTCCTGTCTCTGTCCAAATCCAAGCATGCACCTCTCCATATGTCTTTTTGCACTTTTCTGCTTTTGCTCCATCTTCTATGTCGGCGTGCATTATTCTGACCAATATTTCACGGCAGGTAATACACACAGATGACAAACATTCTACTGTAGGCACATCGGTACGTTGCTTTTCATCGTCAGCTTTAGTTTTCCCAAAATCGCTCCCAAAATGCTCTCGCTCGCCACTTTAATTGTTTTCTGCCCTACACAATTGCCCTCGGTATGTATCCTCTGATGTGTTTTCCAATTGTGTCTCTCCAATAGATATCTCCATTCGTTTACCGAGCTCCTTGTTCATGGCTTGTTTTGTTCATCCATCCCTTGAGTCCATCTTCGTGGTCGACTTTATTAAGTTATTTGATCGTTTGCTATAATTATTTTACATCGATGGTTTTATTTGGTAGTAAATGCAATTACTTCAATGGCACCCGCTGTAGGAACGTGAAATTTCTGTTGCTGGCTCAGAGCAACAGAAAAAGATGAATGTAATACTGTGGTGCTCATTTCGGTGGCGAGACATTTTGACTTCGGCAAGTATACATTTGAACAAACATTTATTTGTGAAAATGTGTCAAGATTTTTATTTTATGTAGTGTACAGTTGTGTTTATGTGTGCGTGTGTGGGGAGTGGTGGTGCAGCGGTTACCGCACTGCACTTTAAACCTGGTGACTTAAGTTTAATTCTCACTCGCAGCCAACACCAGTAACAATTATCTGAACCGGTCCTTGGCCTCCCCTAGGTTGACTCGGCCTCAAATGGGTACCTGGGGTGGTGTATAAATATCGCCACTCGGGAGACGAAGGCGACCAGGTGTAGTTAATGCCACCCACCGCTTCATGTACCTTCTGTATACCAGCCAAGGTAGTTAACATCTCGCCACCACGGCACCCTGCCTGCCATCGTAGGTGCTCCCTAAGATTACTTGCCCCAAAAGTCAGTTAAGGATATGTGGGGGATCTTTGTCTCTGTGTTAAGGTACCAGATGGCTTTGATGCTGTATTAATATGCATAATAATGGCGATGGTGAGAAGGAAGTTGAGATTATATTTACATTATCAGGGAACATTTGCCATCGATTGCATAAACCACCTTAAATTAATAGAGGTCAACTTTATACTCTTTGGTTCTTTCGGTAAAATCACGTAGTTAGAAAGCTTCAAATCAAGGTAAACTGTAGTTACAGGAAATGTCTGTTAAGGTGTTAAAAATAACGTCTATTTTTAAGTACAGCTCTTTGGTGAAATAATACAAACTCGAAGAGACCTTGTCCTTTGAATACAGGAGTGTGTGGAGGATAATTTTAATGGCAGGATGGGGTTAAGCAATTTCGAAGTTGGGAATGTAACAAGAAGATATTGTAGATGTCATCAGGAAGAGGAGTTTGTGAGGGGTGGGTCAAGTATTCATTGAAAAGGAGGGCAGGATATCGAGACGGACATTGTAGTGGCACCTGCCAGGTTGGTGACCATGGTGAAGACCTTGAAGGTAAATGATCGCAAGGGTGAACACATTAGGAATAACTAAAGCCGCCAGGTTGTGTTGATGAGACTAAGAACAGACCTAATGTTGTCAGTTGTTGACTCTGCAGCACTTGAGGGATTTGTCAAGAGGAAGGAAGCGATGGTGCGGTTGGATCAACGATATTTACGTATACACACCTACGTGTGTTTTGAATGTGAATGTGTCTTTGTATAAAATATGACAAGTAAATGTCCGTGTGTGAATCGGTCTAAAAAATGAGTACCTGGTGTGGTGTGTAAACATCGCCACCGGGGAGACAAAGGCAGCTGGGTGTAGTGTTGGCCACCCACCCCCTCGTGTATCGTGCTGGGCTTCATAGGTGCTCGCTAACAGCACTTGCCCCAACAGTCTGTTAAAGGCTATACGGGGGATCCTTGTCTTCATCGTATGTGTTCGCATTTCACAGTAAATCATCAGTGCCACTGTTTCCTAGAAGCATTCGATATTGTTTATTTATTTTACAAAATAAATACAGATTAGACCAGTCAAACAAGGAGTGCTGCAGGCATTTTATTAAAGTGAGGAAGGGTGGGAGGTGGGGAAAAGAGAGAAAGATTGAGAGATGGCTTTACGTAACTCAACATCCTTTATTTAACCATCGCGTGCGATCGCCTTTGCCACTGGCAATTTAATCGGGCCAGGGGTGTCTCGCAAGTTCAAGTTCACATCCCATTTCGGAGTATACTTAGTCTGTGGAATTACATGATCAACAACATAATCATGATCGTCATGTCTGTGGGTGGGGTAGACAATGTGAAGGGACCGCTTTGTTGGAAGTCAACGGTGGTTTTTGCCCTGTTGACAACATCCGCAGGCCCTCATCATCGTAATGACATTATCACGACCAGCTCTCGCGCCCCACCAATGGAGATGAGCACCCCTCCGTGTAATGATGCACCTGCGCAGGCAGACAAACACGTGTATGCTTTGCAGTGTATATTAGAGCTGCGCCAGTCACGATTCTTAGCCTGGAATCGCGTTCCAATTCTTGGAAACCGAATTGGATGCTTGACAGGGATCTATGGAATCGTGGACTGGCCATGAGCTCTGCGGGCCCTGGCATGGCGTTCAGTTGGGCCTGACCAGCCTCGTGGAATCGCCAGTGACACGTATTACATTCCATACGATTCGGTGGCAATCCGGGTCAATACTGGACAGCTGTAGAATGTAGCTTCATTCATTTAACACGTAGGCTTTCGCAAACCAATATTATTCATTATGAATATAAATGTGTCATTAACCCACCACCCGACACAGCCAAATAGTAAGGTTTGTTACGTAAACAAAAGGTGCAAATTAGTTACTACTTCAGAATACCGCTTGTGTGTTGAAGAGTAAACGCCCAACATTTACAATTTGAGTACAACGTTTTGCTGGTCATTACAACCAACTTCATTAGACGATTTTGTCAGAATTGTGATGAAGTCTTCCTTCTTCCGGTCTTGATGAAGCTTTGGCTTTGCGACATTCATAGTAGAATCACAACATAGTCCCATTCCATTGCATGACTATTCAATGACGATGTCGGTCCAATGAGTGGACATTTTCACGTGGGAGAATTGCCCATTGAAATGTTACTGCAGAAACCATTATTCTTCAGAGTGGAATTTTCGGGGTCAAATAATATTTCTGTAGGAATTGCAGAGCTGTCGTATCCCGAGAGAGAGAGAGAAGGGGGAGGAAGGGATAGGAAAGATAGAGGGTTGGTTGCTGTCATCTTAATTAATTGAGCCTCATCATTCCCACACCCTCCACTCACTCCCCCCCACAACCCCTCCACCCTTAACAAGCAGTAATCATCGACCCAGATGCCATGAAATGTTGCCGCACGGTCAGTATTGATCAGGCTGTCTCATCTGAAAATGTAGCAACCTCGGACTCGAACCTTGATCCTTTGCATGCGTCGGCATCGTTGGGGAGCACGAGTCGCGGCAAACGCAAACAACGTCTCCTGAGAAGGAACTGTCCCGGAAGTCGATGCCACAGGCCCATTTCAATAAGGTTTTATTGTAATAGGTGTTCCTCCTTCAATCGCTATGTATAAGCCCAGCAATAGGCACTGCTCCTTGATGCTTTGTGAAGAGCGGTGTTGCCGTGTGCCGGTAATCCGATGAAGTGCAAATTAAGTTGAACCCTCAGAGGTGCGCTCAGCCAAATGGAGTGATAAACAGAGTTGTTACAATGTTGGCTTTTGTTTGTACTGTGGCGGCGAAATCTTGGATTCAAACACTAAAACCTCAGCATAGCCAGCCTAGTGACTACGACATGGCCATTATGAACATCCTGAGAGAGACCCAGACTTCAGACTAAAACCGAGCACCTCATTTATTCCCCATTCATCATTAAAGCATTAATTAAAATATCCGTGTTTCCATGTGTCTTCACTATGCCCGTCTGTGTCTCGCTGTGTGTCTCAATGCACACCTGTGTTTTATATGTCTTTGTTGTGTCTGTTTCTCAGTGTGTGGCTCTGTGCCTGTATCTGTGTCTAGCGTTTTGGGATTGTGTGTCAACATGTATGCCTCTGTTTCTGTATTCATCTGTGTCTTTGTGTCTGTCTCACTGTATATGTCTTGAGTGGACACCTGTAAAGTGTTTTGAGATGAAAATTATCACCAGGCATTTGTGTTTTCTGTTTGTGTGTTGTCTATCGTGTGCCTCTGCCTGTCGGTGTCTGTTTCTGCATGTAAGTCTAGCCACGTGTCCGTGTGTGTGTATGTTTATCTCTGAGTGTCTGTTACCATCTGTGTGTGTGTGTGTGCGCGCTGCACTCCTCGCTCTGTGGGGGGTCGTGTAGCGATTGGCACGCTGTGCTACAAACCCGGCGACCCGAATTCGATTCCCGCTCATAGCCAACACCAGTGACGATTATCTGCAACATATCTGGGCCTCCCTTGGGTCGACTCAGCCTTAAATTAGTGCCTGGTGTGATGTGTAAATATAACTGCTAGGGAGACAAAGGCAGGCGGGCGTGATGTTGGCCACCCAGCGGGTCATGCCGGCCTTCATAGATGCTCGCTAACAGCACTTTCCCCAACAGTTTGTTACGGTTATACGATCTTTGTCTTTGTATATATATGTGTGTTTATCTCTGACTGTCTGTCTGTCACCATCTGTGGGTGTGTGCTGCACTCCTCACTCTGTCTATGTGTGTGTGCCTTGTGTGTTCTCCCCCAGAGCATGCAGGCTGTGTTCAGGGAGTGGCCTCAGCAGCAGCAGCAGCAGCAAGGCCTTGTGCCCTCGGCAGCAGCCGAGTGTGGGTCCGTGCTGACCCAGCACCTCTACCCACACCTGGAGGCCCTAGTGAACGCCGCGTGCTTCTACCTGTGGACCGGGCTACTCTGATTGGCCGGTCGGCAGTGAACTGTGGGACGGCCGCCCCCGCTGTTCTCCAGTGCATTATTGTATTCGCGCACACGCCGGTACATGCGCAGACAGCCCGTGTACGCACACGTGTACATACATACACGCACGTTTAAATGCACATACTTGTATACGTGCTTATTCTGTACATACACAAATACATACGCACGTATAGAGGCACGCAAAAACAATATCCTCGTGTAGTCTTTTAACAGACTTTTGGGGTGAGTGCTGTTTGTGAGTGCCGGTACAGCGCACGAAGGGGTGGTGTGGCCTACAGCACATTGGGCCACCGTTGTGTGTCCCCAGTGCTGATGTTTACACACTGTGCGGGGCACTCGTCGTTTAAAGCAAAGTCGACTTGGGGGAGACCCAGGATGGGTGTGGATGGACACTACTGATGTTAGCCGTGGCTGGGCATTGGAACTCAGGTCGCCGGGTTTGTGTAATACATGCACATATAGGTATATAAACACATGCACATACACATAATTAAGCACACATATACACACTTAAACCTACAGACTTGCATACATGCAGTTGCACACCAATACACACTACATGCCAAAATACACACAAACACGCTGACAGTCATATATTTGGCTGTGCAGTCCATGTCTCTCGTAAGAGAATATGATTCTCAATATCCAGATCAATGTGAAGCATCAGTGCTGTATATTACATCAGTTTGTCGCCTGTTAAGGCAATAGAGACAATAGTTCTGTCATAAATGAGCTGTTCATGCCATCCCAATAACAATATATTCAAACATCACCTCTCTAAAAGTTAGTGTGATTGCCTATGTATGGCCATTGTGTATCGTCTTAATAAGTGACATCGTTACGGAGATCCTGGGTTCGAGCCCTGCGTCTGGGTTGATCTCAAGAAGTTCACAATGGCCGTGTTTGGACACACTCGGCCATTAATGCCGCTGAGAAGCTGGCTGCAGATCCTGCCTCTGATGTAAACCTATATATATAGCCTCAACAGAGTGTTGGGCCAAGTGCTGTTAGCGAGCACCTATGAAGGCCGGCACTGCACACGGAGAGGGTGGGGGGTGGGTGACCAGCACTATGCCCAGTCCCCTTTGTGTCGGTACTCATTTGAGGCTGAGTCGACCTAGGGGAGAGGCCCAGGACCGGTTCAGATAATCCTAACTGGTGTTGGCTGTGAGTGGGAATCGAACTCTGGTCTACTGGGTTCGTATTGCAGCTCTCGCCATCTTCAACCCTGGTCACCAATGGCTGGACGCAGAAAAAAAACCTCATTTATAAAATGTCACATTACTTCTGCCGAGCCCAGTTGTGAGGGCTCCCAGTTTTTAAACGCAGCGGCCACGAAGAACCACATCATGAGATTGCGCTCACGATTCCACAAGGAAGTTGAGTTGAAAAAAATAATGTTATTACTTTGAAGTCACCGCATTGAACATAATAAATAAAAAATTGTTTGCAGTATATGCTCGTTCGCGTCTTTTGTGCATTTTGCTGACTTGCAACTTCACAGGCATTAAGAGAGGCGGCACCCAGAGGTCGGCAACTGCTGGAAGACCAGAGGGCAATGGCAATGAGGCTGTACCCGCGGTTTCTTGAAGGACTTGTCGACTGTGTAAAACAATGGGGAAATATCTCAAGTCAGATGGCGGCAAATGAATGACACCGTTAAGACCGGTTGTACCTTGCGAAACCCCATACGTACGAGGGGGACAACGCTCAAAGTTCTACACGGAACAGGTTCACAAACCCACTTGTGATATCTCCACATCGTTGTCCCCGCTTGTTTCGCAAATCTCTGTGCGATGCACCAACCCTCGCTCCCGAGCGCCAGGCTTGCAGGCCTACCGTGTGCCACTGCCTCGCTGTCAGTGGGGGGGTTTGGGTGTCGAGGGGCTATTGCGGCATCGCTCAGAGGTGGTCTTGTAACCTCATCTGGCCCCAACGCACACGGTGCATCACCTTTAATGACACGCAAACTCAATCAATATGAGCTGCATGCAGGAAATAACAGATGGATAGAGAAACACGCACACGTGTACAAAGACACGTTTCCATACACCTACACCTCGGCATGCCTAGAGATTTACACAGACATACACTTGCACATCACACACAAACATCCCCCTCCCCCCAAAGCCGTCAACAGACTGTTAGGGCAAGTGCTTTTAGCGAGCACCTATGAAGGCCGGCATGAGACACGGGGGGGTCGGATGCCAACACCGTGCTGGACCGCCTTTGTCTCCCCAGTGCTGATATTTCACACCTCACCACCAGGTACTCGTGTAATACTCTCACCCCCTCCACCCGACGGCCAATAAAGTTGTCAGTTGGGCAAATGCGCCAATTGATTTGGTTTTTCAGGGAACGGGAAATGTTGAAAAGCAAGCAATTTTTTTTTGTAAAATTGATCCCAGGTGGCCAATAGGCTGATGGACATAAATGTTATTTTAATTGGTGAAACGGCTGCATGTCTTATTTTTTAAACCCATCAATGAAAAGTGCCGTTTGCATTAATTCGGGCTGAGCCCAGCTACGAGATTTGCATTCGCGTTGGCTTCACCATCATTGGTCGGCAAAATGCCAAGCCCAGCGCCAGCCATGCCTTTGGCTGTGAGAATGACTGCCTTCCCAGGAACAGAATGGAATTCCCTATTAATAATAAAGAAGGGACCGGCTCGCGTAAAGCCTCATTAAACTCGAGAACAGATAACAGCCCGCATCAGTGTCAAGTGTTCCGAGTGGGTGAATAGGCGAGTGAAATGGGTGAGAAGCAGAGGTGAGTGGATGGGCGAAAAAGCAGAGGTGAGTGTGGATAATTTAGTGACGGGAGTGCGAGGAGGTGCGTGCGTGCGGTGAATGGGTGGGTGGGCATCGGAAGTAGGTCAGGAAGTAGGTCAGTAGTTTTGTAAGTGGGTGGGTTATTGAGGGATGGTGGTTTGGTGAGTGAAATATGTGAGGTGTGTCGTGGCTGGTGAGTGGTGTGTGCGCGAGTTTACGAGTGAATTGGGTTCGTGTTTACGTGCACGGTAGAATGAGTGCGCGCCCCGACAATGTATGGGGAGCGGCGGTGCAATGGGTCAACCACTTGTTCTTATGCACGTGTGTGTGACTGTGTATGTGTGTATATGTGACTGTGTGTGTGTGTATGTGTGTATATGTGACTGTGTGTATGTGTGTATATGTGACTGTGTGTGTGTGACTGTGTATGTGTGTATGTGATGTGTGTGTGACTGTGTAGTGGTAATATGTGACTGTGTTGTGTATATGTGACTGTGTATGTGGGTATATGTGACTGTGTGTGTGTATATGTGACTGTGTTGTGTGTGTGTGTGACTGTGTATGTGTGTATATGTGACTGTGTGTGTGTATATGTGACTGTGTATGTGTGTATATGTGACTGTGTGTGTGTATGTGACTGTGTATGTGTGTGTATATGTGACTGTGTGTGTGTGTGTATATGTGACTGTGTGTGTGTATATGTGACTGTTGTGTGTGTATATGTGCTGTGTGTTGGTGTATATGTGACTGTGTGGTGTGTATATGGCTGTGTAGTGTGTAGGTGACTGTGTATGTGTGTATATGTGACTGTGTATGTGTGTATATGTGACTGTGTATGTGTGTATATGTGACTGTGTGTGTGTGTGTGTGTATATATATGGATATCTGTGTGTATTTATGGTTGTGTGTGTGGATATCTGTGTGTATTTGGTAGTGTAGTGTAAACATTGCCACTGGGGAGACAAAGGCGGTCTGGCGTGGTGCTGGCCACCCCCCCCCCCTCGTGTACCGTTCCGGCCTTCACAGGTGCTGCTCGCTAACAGCACTTGCCCCTACAGTCTGTTCAGGCTATAGGGGGGATCTTTATCTTTGTGTGTGTATGTGACTCGAGTTTGCTTACGGAACGTGGCGAATATTGAACCGTTCCTGGGCATACCGTCGGTCGGCTCAGACGTAAATGTGTAACGCTGGGGAGACAAAGGCGGCCGTGCGTGGTTTCAGGCCACAGAGGCCCCTTCGTGTGCTATCCCACCCTTATTAGGCAAACGGAACTTTCCCCAACAGTCTGCTGAAGAGGTCTTTCTATATGTGTACACAGGCTGTGTGTGTGTGTTGGAGGGAGCGGTGGCGCAGTGGTGAGCACACTGCGCTGCTATGAACCCGGCGAGTCGAGTTCGATTCCCGCTCACGGCCAAACATTGGTGGCAAATATCTGAACCGGTCCCGGGCTGCCCCGAGGTCGACTTAAACGAGCACGAACATTGGCTGTGCCGGCCTTCATAGGTGCTGCTTGCAAACAGCGCTTCCCCCAACAGTCTGTTGTTGAAGCCTATACAGGGGGAGGAGGAGGGGGGAGGAGGGGGGGAGTTTGTCTTTTGGCAGGTGTGTGGAGAGTGGCGAGTGCTGCACGTGTGTGTATGGGTATGTGCACGAGTGTACACAGGTGTGTGTGTGAGAGGGGGGGGGGAGTGGTGTAATTAAAGTGTGCTGCTCCTCTCGGCTGTGGCCCAGGGACGCGTCCCTCCTGCGGTTTTAATGGAAACAGAGGCGCTCAGGGGCTCTCGGGGCAGCCTCCTCCTCCTCCTCCACAGCACTCACCACCACCTCTTCCTCCTTCCCCCACATGATCTCGCACGCGCGCACACAAAGACAAACATCTCCCGTATAGCATTAATAGACTCTTGGGGCAAGTGCTGTTATAGCGAGCACCTCTACGAAGGCCGGCACTGGCACACGATGGGTGTGGGCGACCAGATGTGTGAAGTAACCCATTTAAGGCTGAGTCAACCTAGGGGAGGCCCACGGCCGGTTCAGATATAGACGCCACTGTGTTATTGGTTGTGAGCGGGAATCGAACTCGGGTCACGGGGTTCATCACGCAGCGCGCTGACCGCTGCACTCCGCTCCGCACTCCATCCACGCAGACCCCGCACCCTGCACGTGCACTATGACGGAACATCGCCATGCATGCCATGTGCAGCGTTCTAGATTTGAAGCTTTCGTGACTGCAAGGATTCATATTCTTGGGTTTTTTCGGTAAAGTCACGTAGGTAAAAAATAAAAAATTAATACAAGTAAAATAAAATAAAAAATAAAATAAAAATCACGACATTTCGGAGGCAACACAAGCTTCCATCTTCAGGTGGAACCGTCACAGCACGCTTGCTGTATCAAGTAAATGAGAGATTCAAAGAGCTACTACCCCGTATATATACTGGTTGAGAGGGGGGGGGGGGTGCCAGAGTAGTTAAAGTGCAACTGCTGCTAATGAGACCGAGCCTCTGCCATTAAGATGGTCAAAGCAGAACATGTGCAGCGTGTTTGTCAATCCACTGCTGGATGAGGGCCTCTACACGCCGTCCGGACTATTTTAACCATACTTCACCACTCACGTCGGTGGCTTTTGCTCCACTGCCCATGTCACAATCTACAACGCCTGTCACGCGCTTCATAGTCGCCAGTCCCACACATTACCCCGGCTCAAGCCCTGCTTGGCTTGTGAGATGTGGCACATCTTCTTGGTTCTTTCGGTAAAGTCACGTAGAAGGGAAATAATACAATAATAAAAATAAAACATCATAAAATAATTATCACGACGTTTCGGCCACAACGCAAGCAGCCGTCCTCAAGTGAAGAACAGGTCTGTCGGAACGACAGACCTGTTCTTCTGTTCTTCACCTGAGGAAGGCTGCTTGCGTTGTGGCCGAAACGTCGTGAGAATAATTTTATGATGTTTTATTTGTATTATTGTATTATTTCCCTTCTACGTGACTTTACCGAAAGAACCAAGAAGATGAATCCCTGCAGTCACGAAAGCTTTAAATCGAGATGTGGCACAATCAAGGCGCGCTCCGGGTGATTTGCTCAGAGGCATGAACGCTACAAGATGCGTGCACTACAGCGCACTACAGCGCACTACGGGCGTACGAATGGCGAGTTTCACAACGACCCCCCCCCCTCCTTCATTCACATTTCCTGGAATCAACAAACATCGGAAACAGATCGCATGATAGTCTGGCCGACCGGACAAGGATCCTAATGTGACCCAGACCGTAACTGAGGTCGCGTTCTGATGAGCAATAATAGTTTGTTTTCTTTATTCGGAATCCGATGATGTGCAATCTATAGGTTCTGCCGCAGCCACTATTAGATGTATATATTGATTACAAATATATATTTATACGAGCAACACGCACATCATTTGAACGTGTCCATTCGTCCCTTCCAGCAAGGCCAGCCAGTCAGCAAAACTTCATAGAGCCCGGTCTCCACGTGTTTCCCTTGCCTCCTTTAAACCGTGTTTCCCAATTTATCTCGATTTCTTGCTTTGTCTCTTTCGATATGCATCTCTATTCCTCTGTTCCCTCTTCTACCACTCATCTTCTCCCTCCACTGTATCTCAGCCCCCCCCCATCTCCCTGTTTCACCTCGAACCCCTCCGCTTCCTATTCCCACCTTTCCCT